TTTTTTTTTCCTCAGGAATAAGGCATCGATTTTTTTGCAAATGAGCTTATGGAGTGATCCTTACCAAAAAGAGCATTGGCAAGGCTATTATTCTCCAAATACTCATATACTAGCAGCAATTGATTTCCCTCAACACAGCATCCATAAAGCCTCACAAGATTTGGGTGTTGCAGTGCAGTAATCAAGCCCATCTCATTCAGAAATTCACGATTCCCTTGAGTTGACTTCGAAGAAAGCTGTTTCACAGCTATTACAGTACCGTCGGACAATAAACCCTGAACTGGAAAGCATAATGTGAGAAAAATCAAGTAAAATGTGCATATCCATTTTAAAATAATATCCATGAATCAGTAAGTTTGAATATACCCTGTAGACTGAGCCAAAACCGCCTTCCCCTATCTTGTTAGAGGCACTAAAATTGTTGGTAGCATCTTTTATTTGACTTAGGCTGAAGGAGCCAGTTTGCAGCTTTAGATCTACCCAAGAAATGCAAAAAGACAAAACTGTGATGAGATAAATTCTACTTGGATTTGCAGTGGGATATGAATAGCAGTAGTTGAGATAATGACTGTATAATTAGCGATAAAAAGCAAATACATTTAATAAAAGTAAAACATTAAACCAATTTTTCAGAATAATCCATTAGATTAGAATATGATCAATATCTAATATGGAACGAAAAGTTAACTTGTAAAAATAATGTACTTCCCTTGAAAGCCTAACAATAACAGAAGATGTCAGTTACAAATGCATACATTATTAGCGAAACAGGAAACAAAATATTCAGTAGTAATACATACCCTATGGTATGTTAAATAGGCTTTTAGAAAATGCATTCAACAAATAATGTTGAGATTTGCAATCAATATTAAATAAAAACTTAAAAAGTGAAAAAGGTGAACTTAATCAAAACTGTAACTTTATTGCTTTAAAATATGGGTTAGGTCTAAAAAGGAGAAAAAGGAAATCATATAGACCTTTAAGTAATACCAAACTCTGAATTTCACAGCATGAAAAGAAGAGGCAAGGGCATGTCGCTCCAATAAGGTTCCATAACTCAATCACCAGCTAAAGAATTTCTGGCCCTAGTATTTCAACTTTTTCTTCTTTTTTTTCCAGATTTTCTAAGTTTAGCGTTCACAGGTTGACAGAAATTTGAAATTCTAGATTGGTCAGAAAAGCAGATCATATGCATTGAGATAAGGAAGTTGATGATCTTAGCAATGTTTTACTTGATTTGCTTTAGTTGTCATATTTCATGGTTACTAATTTTTTTTAGTTTATTTTCGTATAAAGATGCACATAATGTTAGATCACTATGGAGAACGATTTTTGTTCTCTAAATTATGTGCTGGTTAGATTGGGCCACTATTGGTTTGTTGTTGGTTTCCAGCTATAATTAGTCCGACGGTTAGTTTAATAGAAGTTATTGCTCAAAAAAATCTACTTCATTTCATTCATGATGGGCTTATATAGAGCCTTACAAGGTATATTTACAAATAAATCTATATATTTCACCTATTTACAATTATGACCCTTCATTAGATACAAATCTCAACATTCACCCTCAAAATGGGCAAAAGATATATGCTAAGCTCATCTTGTCACATAACCTATACAAATCTAATGAGCTAAGTCCCTTGGTGAGGCAATCCGCCATTTGCTCTCCAGTGGCTACATGACATAGCTCCAACTCCAATAATTTGTTATTCAGCTTTTCTTTGATGAAGAACCTATCAATCTTCTCACATGTTTTGTTCTATCATGTTGCACAGGGTTGTTAGCGATGCTAAATACCAACTTGTTGTCACATCACAGCTTCATTTGAATTCCCTGATCCACTTTGAGTTCAACCAACAAAGCTTTTAACCACATCATCTCAACAACTCCTAATGTCATGACCTTGTATTCAGTCTCTGTTGTTGATCTTGCTACAACTGAATATTTCTTGCTCTTCCACAAAACAAAATTAGCAATGTTATGATCCCACCAAAAACGATTGGGAGGATGTCCTACATTGCTGCAAGAGGTCCTTCTTAAAGTTGTAGGATTAGAAGGAGCAGGAATCATATCACTTGGAAGATTTAAGTCGGGGGTGGATGGTGTGGGTGTCTCAAGAGTCGGGAAAAACTGGGGCAATGGACTAGCTGACACAAGCGGCAATGCAAGCAATGTTCTCTCATTTTGCTTCATTCTCCCTGTATTCGCCATTAGCTCACATTCAGCCTGAATTCCACTTTCTCTGAGTTCGCTCTTCTCATTTTCTGGTTCCTCAACAGATTCATCTCACATCACAAAACAAGGCATTACTCCCACGTGTCAGCTCTCCTTGCCTCATATCTCCAATATTTGGGAAGTCACTAAAGGGTGAGGTCACTTCTCGGGTGTAGTACGGTTCAAATTCTCTAAATTACACATCCTTGCTCACTGTCTCTCTATCGGACTCCAACAAACATACCCCTTATGGGTAGTAGAATAACAAATGAACACACATTTCACAACTCTAAGATCTAGTTTTTTAACTGATGACCTATTATCCTTTACAAAACATACACATCCAAACAC